GGGTAATTTATTAAGAAAAGAAATACTTAATTTATTAAGAAAAGAAATGCTATGAAGAAATACCTGAGACTGGGTAATTTATTAAGAAAAGAAATTGACCGATAGTTTTGCATGGCTGGGGAGGCCTCCGGAAACTTACAATCAGGCAGAAGGCATCTCTTCAGAGGGTGACAGGAAAGAGAATGAGTACCAGGAGGGAAAATGTCAGATGCTTATAAAACCATCAGATCTCATGAGAACTCCCTCACTATCACGAGAACAGCATGGGGGAAACAGCCCCCATGATCCAATTACCTCCCATGGGTCCTTCCCACAGCACGTGGGATTATGGTATTACAATTCAAGATGAGATTTCGGTGGGGACACAAAGTCAAACCATATCATAGATATACTCATTTAAATTCTGAAGACATGCCTAAAAACTGTTTACTAGAATGAATAATATAACATGTTGTAGATGAAGGTGACGGAAAAGGTTTTGAGTACAAAAGTGTTTCTTTACTTCTAGCATTTTGAGTTTTATCAACAAGTGAAAAGTATTAATCTGGCAAGCATTAATTAAAACTCTTGACTTCAATATTTCTATAGGTAAGTCAGATCTTTCTGTGGTTTGTGTAATTTTCATTGCAAGGCTAAAGCTTTAAATTTGGCATTCATACTTCTGTCAAAATTCATTTTAAGTCATACATAAACATGTCATTTGCATGTTGATTAACTGCCACAATTTCCTCTGTAACAATCTCAGTTTGGAAGTGCACATAAATCACAGCTGAACAGATTTCTATTAGTTCCAAACTCACATATGAAGTAATTGTTGTTTTTCTGAAGAAAATCTGTAGTCAATGTGCAAATTATACATTTTGTTTATACAAGCAATCTAGAATGGATGTTTTAATTATGCATTTGTTTATATATGAAACTTGGACTTACAAATCAAGCACTATAAATATAGAAAATATCTCTCCAAACTGAAGTGCAAACTTCACGTGATCAAATTAAACAGTTTGGCTTCTGGAAGCAGTTAGCCTACTCAGGCAATCGTACCCAGTAGCATTACCTTCTGCGAGCCAGGCGAGGGAGCTCTTCCCCACAGTATTCTGAACTAATCTTGCAGAAAAAAATCAGGCGCCAGAAGGCAGCCCAGTCAGAGAAAACACCCTACAAGTTCAAGCAGCATCTTGGCAATGCTGCGTTTGGAGACCATGAGAAACATAGTTAGGTCCTTTCTTGAGTTTATGAAGGTTTTCAGAGATTCCAAATAGTTTTGGAGGAAGACTAAAGTTATAGCATCCACTCA